AGAATGTCTAACTTGATGATTTGGTGAGTAGGGTACAAAATACTGCTTTAAATAAGGGAGATAGTTAAGATAAATGCATTTAAATATCAGCTGAAGCCAATGCGTGTGTCTTCTTACACTTTAAAGAAGTCCATTTAAGTTGGTTATACAATGTGCAGTGATGTGTACGAAAAGGACAACCAAGAACAAATCTGCATAGTCTGTTGTAGGCTATGTTGAGTGGAGCAAGATCTGATTTATGTGCATTTTGGTAGACAACATCACAATAGTCCATAATCGGAAGAATAAGTTGAGAAGCAATTCTCTTTCGGACACTGAGCGTAAAACAATTGAGAGGTGTAAAACACCGATTCCGTAATTGACTTTTTGTATTACATGCTTTATATGTAGTTTAAATGAAAGTTCAGAGTCTAGCCATACACCAAGATATTTAAAGCTATCAACTTTATGCAGAGAAGTGCCATCCTTACATGTTATTACTACATTAGGTTTGGATTTGAGCTTCTACCTGGTACCAAAGACCATGGTATAAGATTTTGTTTTGTTAAGCAGTAGTTTATTGTGTGATGGCCAGTCCTGTAAGATATTAAAATCAGACTGAAGAGAGATCTGAATTTGTGAAAAGTCAGATTTGGATGTATATATGACAGTGTCATCAGCATAAAGGTGAGTACAACAATTAATGAGACAAGAAGATAAATCATTTATGTAAATAGAGAACAGAAGTGGGCCCAGAGTTGATCCTTGGGGTACACCCTTTTGTTGGATCAACAGGTCAGACTGTTTTCCATTAACAACCACACATTGCTTTCTACTGTGAAGGTACGAGTTGAACCATAACACTGTATTATTAGAAAGGCCAATGCCGTGAAGTTTATCCAAGAGCAGATATCGATCAACAAAATCAAAGGCTTTTGTCAAGTCAATAAAAATGGCACCTGTGAGTTCACCATCATCTGCAGCAGAGTACAAGTCATTCGTAAATTTAAGTCATTATATATATATATACTTTATTAAACTCTGTTTAGGTTGTATTGCCGACGCTATAAGCAGAGAGCTAGGGAACAGACATGTTCAGATCAATTGTTCAGCAGAGAGCCTCTGGATATATTACAAGATCATAACACAGATCAATTCAAGATAATACATCATCATGAACAGGAAAATGAACCAGAATACAAAAAAGGGTAACTGTATTCCCTTAGTTACATTACAAAACATGTACTCAGATTTCACTGATTACAATGTTACAAAAAAAAGGAACATTATTTTTGCTTCGAAACAACATTATGTGTTGTTTGCATTATGCTTATGAAAGGCAGGTTTCCCTATAAATAAAATCCCTGAGCAGAGGAAACCTTTCTGATCCTAAATATCTTGGTTTCTTCTACGGTCAAATTGCTCTGTTGTCTTACATAAAACACTTGAGCAAAAACATCTTATTCATACTTATTTTTATTGTATTTATTTGTATTGCATTTGATATTGAGGTAATCCAAAATGAACCAAAAGTTATCAGGTTAAATTACTTTTTGATTCACAGAATAGATACTGATTAAAATAACTAGTTACAGGTAACTAGTTATTGTACCATATAACATTATTAAAGTAACCCTCCCAGTGTTTGGGACTGAAAGGAAAAAAAGAAGAGAGGAATGAGCAATGTGACCTCAGCTCCTGTAATGAATGCTGAAGTATTATTTGAGTTATTTGAAGTATTAAAGTAACGTGTTATGGCAGGAAAGTTCAATCTGGTATATTCATTTTAATGTCACCTTATATAGAATGTGTGTTAAACTTGTGATTTCTGCATTGAGTGACTTCTGCCTAGCAGATACCAAGAAGAGGCCCCTAGGGTCTCTCTGTTAATTATCAATAGTCCTTGCAATTAACAGGGGAAGTCCCAGATACATTTTCAGATAATGTAGTTAAAGTCTTGTAGAATTAATGTTTATCTCCTACACATCCTGCAGGCCTTGAGACTTGGGTCACCCAGCAGTAACCAAGATAAACGTCCTTTTGAGCTTATCAATAAAATGTATTCATTCCTAGTAAGCTGACTTTGGGGTGAAGGGAAGTTCAGGGAAGCCATTAAGCGATAAGAACAATTAACTTCTGTTAAAGATACATGATACAATGTTTGTGTGTTGAGGATGTTTAGGGGGAATGAGTATGTGTCCTGTCAAAGAGTCCTCTGTCATGACTCCGAATCATTGATTGGGGGATCTGCCTAAGGACAGAGGGACAGAAACACACACACACACACACACACACATACAAACACACACACACACACACACACACATACACTGTGAAGCAAACGATGGAATCAACAAACTGACTTACTACCTGGGATCCCGCCCAGAAGGGAAACCGACCAATGGAACACTGCCAACTCACTGTCTAGCTCGCTCAGAAGTGAACTCTGTGTATAAATGTTGTGATCATTTTGAAGATCGGGGCTCTTGTTTTTGACTTGCCGTTCCTGAGACATGTCTCACACGGGGTTAGAATCTGAGCCCGGAGTACTCTGCAGAGTGCTTCGTGATTAGGAGATTGGGTGATGTATTTGTATGTTTTACCATTAAAGCAGATTATTGTTTAACTTGTATTCTGGTGTTTCTTAATCCCTTCCTTTTTACGAATTTACCCAGCTTATCAAACGACACGCGGAGACAAGGTTGGTTTTAAACATCCTCCAAATCTCCAACAATGCACACATTGCTTTTTCCTCCTGATGGACGCTGTGACAGTCTTGCCATGAGCAGGAGTCTCCTCGTGTCTCCTCGTGTCCCCATGATGTCCATCCTGCGGTGAACTACAGTTCTGACAGTGTTTACAGCAGATTCAAACGCACTGAAGGTCAGCATGCTCTGTATTTTTGAATTGTGTTAGCCTAGAATGTCCTCTGGTTGAAATAACAGTGAAGTTTGAGTCAGACATTCTCATCATTAAACGCTGCAAAGCTTTTGAGGGCTCTTCCTTTCCTGGCAGATACAGATCTAACTTGGTTACCCATTTGGTAATGTGCATAAAGACAAACACAAGTATGTGATTTGATGGTTAAGCATCCAAAAGCGAGCAAATCCTTCATAAATATCCATGTACGTTTTTTGGTGCAGCATTAACAGAACCATTTATTTGTATCTTAAATATGTTCCAATAATTTAAATAAAAAAAAATAGAAACTAGCTACAAAATATACACAACAATCAAAAACAGGTTCAGTCTGAGTAAAAATGCATTCTGTGTTCTTCTGTTTACAGACTCAGTTTGAAATGTATCTGACTCTAAATTCCAACAACACCACTGAGTATCTTTACTGATTTACTCTTTTATTTATTTGTATTAAAGCATTGCTCCTAGTACGCATTGTCTGTCTCTGATATGTGCATTGAATGTTGTCATCTGAACTCATTGCAATGCTGAGAGGTGAGGGGGGGGAGGGAGGACCACCCCCTGTCTCTGTAGGTGTCTCAGGATGTCCAGGATGGAGTCCAGCTCCAGACGGAAGGCCTCCACCTCTCTGCTCTTCTGCTGAGCCAGCTGCTTCCAGCCCTCCACCTCCGACTGCTGACCAGAGTCCAGGGTCTGCCAGGAGCCCCCGATCACCTGCAGGGGGGGGGGACTCTGAAAATGAGTGGGCATCAATCATATCCAACATTTAAATCTAAATGGCAGTATGGGTTAGTGCAGTATCCAATTGTATGAAAGGTAATACTTGGTCAAATATGTGACGATATCCTTTTGGCACATAGTGCTGCAGAGAAGAACCGGCCAACAAGCAGTATTCTACAGTCCAATCAAAACCCTTGTTTGGTAAAGGGACCTCTTCAAAATAAAATCAGCATGATTGTTTTTTATATAAACTGCTGTTAAAAAAAAAGTCACCAAATAAACTAAGCCAATCTGTAAGAGCCTTCCATTGGATAATTACTGAAGTGATTCATACGTTTCAGCTGGCAACAAGTTATTTAACCCTAGCTGATGCGGTGAGTAGCTTCTCATTCCTTTAACAACCATGTCGGAAGATATCCTGTGGTCGTGGAAAGGATGTTAATCAGTTTCAGAAGGGGTATAATTATTGGCCTGCATCAAGCAAAGAACACAACTAAGGAGAACGCTGAAACTACTCAAATCGGGTTGATAACTGTCCAACACATTATTAAAACCAAATCAATGAATCCAGATTTACCCTGTTCCAGAGTGATGGGCGCATCAGGGAAAGAAGAGAGGCGGACAGGCAGCGTATTTTCAATGATAATGTGAACGTTTCAAAGATGATCATTCTCTCTAATATTGCAATTGCAGGAGCCTTGGTTTCCACTGTGTTCTGAACAACATGGAGAGAAGCTGGGATCCATTCAAAGTGCAGGTATTTTTATATGGGGGCAACAGCTAGTTTAGAAAGAATACTGCAGGACAGAAGCGCAGTATGCTGGCCAGCCGGTCCAATGTTGCAGCACTGGATTATATAGTACGGAGCCCCTAAAGGGACATGGGGAAAAAAAAAAAGAGAGAGAGAGAGAAAAAAAAGAAAAGTCGGGATAACGGATTAGTTTCTCGTACGAGAAACTAATCCGTTATCCCGACTTTTTTTAATTTTTTTTTAGAAAGTTACCGGTGCGCCAAGGAGAAAGTGGGGCAGTTCGATGTGTGTAGAGGTGTCTGTGTGTGTGTAGAGGTGTGTGTGTGTGTGTGTGTGTTTAGAGGTGTGTGTGGTTAAAACATTACGTAGCAGCCTGCGGTCACTCTATAGCTGTTCGGATGAAGGTGAACACAGTTCAGGCAGTGCGTAAAAGCTCTTTGCGCGCTGGTGCTGCTCTTCTCTGAGTCTGAGTTAAACGTCCCGCTGCCTCCTGGAGTGACTGCAGGTTGCTACGTTTTTAACCACACACCCCTGGCCGCAATGTCCTTAAAATGAAGTCTGAGTTCGAAATATATCCTAAACAATGTATGCACAGTCATTTCACGTAAACATAACAGTCTGCAATGAAATGGTTGTCTGCTGTGTGCTCCACTTCCTCCTTGGTGCACCGGTAACTTTCTAAAAAAGAAAACGGGTTAGTTTCTCGTGCGTCTTCCTGACTTAACTTTTGTGCTCATATTTTTTTTATATGTCTCTTAAACCTTTATCCCGACTCTTTTTTTTCTTCTCCACAAGATACTTTCTCGTGCGCACCAGATACTAACCCGTTATCCCGACTTTTCTTTCTCTCTCTTTTTTTAATTAATATAGTAATATAGACCCCAAACATGATTTTTCATGAAGCAACAGGCAGTAAAGGTGATTAATATTCTCTCTCCATGGTTACCTGCTGCAGCTTCCTCTCTCTGCTCTGGTGCCGCAGCTCCATGTCGAGGATCTTCCTCTCCAGACCGCTCAGCAGCTTCCCCTCGGGGCTCTGAGCCTCTTTAGCTTCCTTCAGATCCTTCAGCAGTCTGCTCAGCTGCACACAGAGAGGAGACAATGTTTTCAAATGAAAATACATCTACCAAATGTAATAATGAACTTGTTTGTCTTGGGGAAAAATATATAATAATCAAGCAATGAAACAAAACGATTTTTGGTTCATGTCATGTGCCATCTTGTTGTACAACACCACCCAATGTTGCAGATGGATTGGAAAACTCTGTCACATCCTGAAAACCAAAATACCAAATTGTTCCAAACTATCTTCTTTAGATCTCTCAACTCTCAATAATATAAGGGGCTGCTGTTAGAGCTGCAAAAAGATGCTGGTTAAACCTACTCTCATTCAAATGTGTCATATGTTTGAATTGTATGAGGGGAGGGTTACCCTGGTTACAGTATGATGGTTTTTTTATTACAATAATAAAAGAGTTATCGCAAATAAAAAAACATCCATAAATCAAACAAGAAGCAACACCTTTGTTTTGATATGATTTTATAAAATAACTTCAAATAAATGCTTAGGAAAAAGCCTGGGACCTGTTTCTGCAGAGCGTCCTCTCTGGTCCTGGAGACAGTGAGAGCATCTTTGGCTCCCTGCAGCTCCTGCAGCTGCTCTTTCAGGTGTTTCACCGTCACCTGCAGGGAAACGTCAGAGTGAAAGCAACACAATACTTTCCAGGACTGTTGAAATTCCTGTTAGTGTGTCAGTACCTCCTGAGTGTGTAGCTGATTGGTCAGCTCAGCCACCCGTGAAGAAGAGTGTTCCAGGGCGTAGTCGGCCCGCAGCGTGTCCAGAGCCCGGAGCTGCTCCGCCTTCATGGAGCTCAGCTGCTCTGCACCCTGCTGCCTCACCCTGACACACACATGCAGGTCAGATATCAAATCACCCTGCTGCCTCACCCTGACACACACATGCAGGTCAGATAACACATCACCCTGCTGCCTCACCCTGACACACACATGCAGGTCAGATAACACATCACCCTCCTGCTCCGCACAGTGTCAGTGAGTGTGTGCACACACACCTGCTCAGCTCCTCCTCAGCGTGTTCAGCCTGTGCAGTCAGCCCCTCCCTCTGCAGCTGCAGCTGCTCCACCTGCTGCCTCAGAGCCTCGCTCTCCTGCACCACCTCTGAAATGTGGCAGCCTGTCAACAAGCAGCAACAAGAGAATGTGAGTCATTATTCATATTTTTTCCCCCGTCACCTTAGGTCTGTTGGGGAGAGGAAACAAATTATACTTTTCTGTATGTGATGAATAAGATAATACTGCAATACTACATGGTACAAGTGTTCTACGATCTACAAGACTGCTCCTCCAAATACAGGTCTGCTCAAAGATTGTACGTCAAGCCTTTGGGAAACTCTATGAATCACTGTGCTATAATAACATATTAACATTGATTCTGAGCTCACTGAATGTGAATTCTCCATCAAAGTGTAGATAAAGGGTCCCATGATTTAATAAAGTTAGACTGAAGCACTCTTGTGCACAGGTCAATCCTCAAATTAGAGACAGAATTCAATCCGAGGTCAAATGTACGTTGTAATAGTGTTACATTTATTTTTCCTTGTTTCTTATGCTAAATATTTCTCCTTGTCATGACTTTGATAACACTATTAACCCCAATTCCAATGAAGTTGGGATGTTGTGTAAAACGTAAATAAAAACAGAATACAATAATTTGCAATTTGCAGGTCACCCTTGAAAAAGAGATATTTTGATCTCAAGGGGCTTTCACCTGGTTAAATAAAGGCTACAAACAAACACATTCCTTTTCGGCCTATATTCAATTGAAGACACTACAAAGACAAGATATGTAATGTTCAAACTGAAAACCTTTATATTTTTGTTGCAAATATTGACTCATTTTGAATGTGATGCCACGTTCAATAAAGCTGGGACAGGTTCATGTCACCACTGTGTTACATCACCTTCCTTTTAACAACACCCAATCAGTGTTTAAAACTGAGGAAACTCATTGTTGTTGCTTTTTAGGTGGAATTCTTTCCCATTCTTGCTTGATGTACGACTTCAGTTGCTCCACAGTCCAGGGTCTCCGTTGTTGCATTTGGCGCTTCATAATGCGCCCCACATGTTCAATAGGAGACAGGTCTTGACCCCCACACTTTACTACGAAGCCAGGCTTTTGTAACACGTACAGAATGTGACTTGGCATTGTCCCGCTGAAATAAGCAGGGACGTCCCTGAGAAACGTCGCTTGGATGGCAGCATATGTTGCTCCACCTGTTTGTACCTTTCAGCATTAATGGAGCCTTCGCAGGTCAGCGAGTTGCCCATCTCGCTGACCATCACAGATGCTTTTGAACTTTGCGCTGTGTCATGGGTTCAATGTTGGTTTTCAGCCTTGCCGCTTATGTGCAGAGATTTCTCTGGATTCTCTGAATCTTTTGATTACATTATGGGCTGTAAATAATGAAATCCCATGCAATTGTACGTTGAGAAACGTTGTTCTTAAACTGTTGGACTGCTCACGCAGTTGTTCACAAAGTGGTGAACCTCGCCTCATCCTTGCTTGTGAACGACTGAGCCTTTCGGGGATGCTCCTTTTTTACCCAAGCATGACACTCACCTGTTTCCAATGAACCTGTTCACCTGTGGAATGTTCCAAACAGGTGTTTTGAGCATTCCTCAACTGTCCCAGTCTTTTGCTGCCCTGTCCCAGCTTTTTAGGGGCTTGTTGCAGGCATCACATTCAAAATGAGTCAATATTTGCACAGAAAAAATAAGTTTATCAGTTGGAACATTACATACCATGTCTTTGTAGTGTACTTAATTGGATATAGGTTGATAAAGATTTGCAAATAAAAAAATGTAAGGTCATTTTATTGTTTCTCCTGTCGTAAAGAGATCCTCCCAGATCGTGTGAGATGGGAATCTACTCTACAGTCCATTATCCTGCTTACTTACTTATTAGGCTTCAGCAATATGAATTACACACATTAAATCAGTATCTTCCAATATTAGCCTGTTGATTTGTATTCTCTTTGTTTTAACATAGGGAGGCGTGTGGCGCAGTGGCTTAGTGTGTTGGTGTTTGGATCAGGGGAGCACAGGTTCAAACCCCACTGCAGTCAGCATGTCGTTGTCTCCCTGAGACACTTCACCTCAAATTGCTCCTGTGGGGGTTGTCCTCAGTATTGAGTATGTAAGTCGCTTTGGATAAAAGCGTCTAACAAGTGACATGTAATGTAACTTTGTGTTATGTATGGTTCACAGCCTCTCACACACAGGGTTGAAGAACTCAAGTCTGTTCTCATGGTATATCATCTTGTTCTTTTCTTGGCCTTCACAGCGTGCTTGAACTCTTTGCCGTTTTGCCATCACTCTCTTCTTTTAAAGGTTTGGTCTTTACAGAGACACAAACCCTGCTCAGAACCATCAAGAAGTGACATGCAGAGCTCTTTCCCCTATATCTATCAACACAACCTAGTCAACTTGTATCCTACGAAAACTTAAATCCACCTGACTGAAAGCCATGGTATAGATTAGATGTATGAAATCATTTTTAGAAGCTAACAAGCCATTCTGCTGAAACCAGGGAGGTAACAAAAGGAGGCCTATGCACGAGGTATGAGGTAGTGTCCTTACCTTAAATTGTTTGATATAAACCTGTTGTTTGGAAAATACTAAAGCAAATATTAGATAAATGTGAAATTGTTATGCAAGAAAAGACTTGGAAAGTGGTGTACCTCACATCGCATTTTAGGTGCATCTGCATTACTTGATATTTGATTTGCGTTTATATATTTGAATTAAAGAGCCTGTGACAGCATCCCAACAACTGTTGTGCAATGAAATATTGGGCTACTAGTCATCTCGAAGGTGCGATACCGTTCCGATAAATATCAATAATTTCGAACATCGCGGGGAAATTCCTTCGACTCATTTTGAAGTTTTGGGGGAAGCCGGAAGTGACGTCAATGCGGGAACGCTTCACTGTGCGGCGAGAGAGCCAAACACGGACAAAGTGTGTTGTCATGCGTAGAAATGGTGAATTACTGAGTTTAGGCACGTTAATAACGTTTTAATGAAGTTGACTAGCAGTATATTCATATTTGTCAGTGCTTTCATGTCAATTCTGCGAACATAAACATAAATGATCGCGGTGAAGATGATGATTAAATTAGGATTAAAAATCAGTAGTGAGAGCTGCTGAATTTCCTCCCGTCGGATGTGATATAAATATAAATCGATTATTTGTGTCGTTGTAAACTCAAGTGGATGAAACTACCGTAATTTTCGGACTATAAGCCGCGCCTTTTTTCCCATTTTTCGACGCTGCGGCTTATATAACGGTGCGGGAGACCTAGGGGACCTCCTAAATCTATGGATTTTACAGGTTACAGTCCACCACCTTTAACTCTATGGGCTCTATGGCCGGTCCGCGCCCCCCACCTTTAAGCGGCGGGCTCCAGCAGGAAAAGCTGGAGGCCGGAAAAGAGTGAGACAGGTAGCGTGCAAAAGTAAAAGTGGAACCGAGAGTGGTACGAGAGACAGAACGAGAGCAAGACAGACAGACATTACGAGAGCGAGACAGTTTGTCCCCGTACCACTGGTTGAAAACCACTGCTTGTAGATCACTGCCGGTAACGTGCGCTCGCGGAGCGCACCCGTAAGTTTGAAAGTTGAAAAGTTGTGTGTCTGAAACGCTATGTGTGATACAGTACAGTTTACTACAGCACAGTACATGTTCTGTAGCTACCTATTGCACTTAATGCTAAACACTTGAATACGTTACGCAAATATTCAACTTGTTTGTTTGAAAAATTAATAAAGGGAGCTTCCTCACAAACAGCCCTCTCTTTCCCAAACCCCAACAAGCACGAAAACCCTTACATATGGTAATTAAACATTAAAACACCTGCGGCTTATATCCCAGTGGCGGCTTATATATGTACACATCATTCAATTTAAGCTTGCGGCTTATATTCCCAGGTGCGCCTTATAGTCCGAAAATTACGGTACAGTTTATTAGTGCTTTCAATGTCAATTCGGCGAACATATGTACATATAAATGATCGTGAGGATGATGATTTAAAAATCGTTTGTTTAGAGCCGGTTCTGCATTGTCTGATGAAAAGCAAACCGAGTGCTTTGTAGTTGTAGTACACCAACATGGATTAACGTGTGGTTTTTTTACCAAAATATTCTGGAAATTAATGCATACCAAATGTCACAGATTATTATTATTATTATCCCACTCCGATCGGGACGATAGGTCACACCGTTTCCCCGCACGAGGCTCTCCCGTTGACAGTTCTACGTGGGCTGGGCTGGGTGCATTGGCGGACTGGCCATGCGGGACGAATCCCGATGGCCGGCGATACCATAAGGTGGCCGGTCGGATAAGTATAAAAGCACATCCCCCCCTCCCCCCGTTGACATTTACTAGCAGTACCGAAGTTGGGCCGTCGAGAAGTCCCGGATGACTTTTAGCTCCAAGTCCACCACTCTGGCTACAAATGAACTATGTCGCCCATATTGACGCACTAATCATAAACTTCTAACAGATACAACATAAACCCCAGATCCTTCAGCCTCATATGACTCTAAGTACACGATTCAAAATGAAACTGTCCATCGCTGTCTGAGCTTGCTGCTGTGTGGCGCCATCGTGCGGTTTACATGCGCATGCCTGGTATCCTGACGGTGGCAGCCTGTGAGGCGCTGTGCCCGCAATGACGTCACAATCATTTGTGCGGGATTTGGAGGAATCCCCGAGAAGATCCAGAAAACGGTCAACATTGAAGGCCAGATTAATGGGTTATCAAAGTCAGATATCCCAAAATCAAGTTCCCAGTAACGGTTCAAAAAAAAAGGGGACAATATTTACTGCAAATTGATGGGTTTGGATGATGGGGGAAACTCCGTGCTCACGGCTCTTAAGAATGGATATACAGTATTTGCTTAGATTTTGTAAAGTCCTTGTTGTTTTTTGGATATG